TACTTTGCAAGTTTTGCTTCCCATGTGTTTTTTTCTATCTTGTTCATTTGAAAAATATGTATTTTTCACTTGTTTCTGGTTAGGAGTAAACTGTGTAAATCTAAAACATTATTCATGAGGATGAATCCACCACATTTCGAGGATGACATTTTAGTTTCAAACTTAATAGATGCAGGAATTAGAGGAATTGAAAAGCTCCTTAGCCACCAGCATTTCAGGTTGTACAGAAAGGAAATCTGTGTTTATGGAGGCCCAGAATTTTCTGTCCCTGGTGCTCATGAAAATCAAGGAGCCAGTTCAGTGGGTCATTAGAAGCTCTTAAGTACATCAATGAAATTCATCCAAGAACAAATCAAATATTGCTATGAAACTAAAAATTTTAATTCTTCCTCTATTGGTAAGACCATATTTTCATACAATAAATGGCACATTGTCTTAATATCAGCCAAAAGCATTTGCCAAGAGTATTTGTAAAATTTTATAGTGTATGAGATATAGCTTGTACTTAGAATTGTCCTTAGGGGTTTCAGGAGGTTGAGTTGCAGCTTTGATCTCAATTTATCACTAGTCTTGGATCCACAGTCACATATGTGCCGTGGATCATACATCTTTTTCTTTTTTCTTGTGCAGTATATGACATTGCATAGATTCAGCATTTACTACATAATTCAGATATCACTAGAAGAAAATCATAATTTAAAATTTTTATTTATGAATGGTGTATAGACGTCTGCCTTATTAATCTCACTATTTTCTAAATAACAAAATAAGGTTATAAAAGTTAAGTGATTTGTCTGTTATCCCACAAAGCTAAGTAAGCTTAGATTAGTGGCAGAATATGGACTAAAATCATGTGTTTTGGTAATCGTGTTTTGGCATCTTTGTTACTGTTGTTATGATATAACTATTTGTTTTCAAATATTAGAATGGTATTGCAGTCGTTGCAATGTATTGTGTAGCTTAGATTACTAGTGCAAAACATGGGTTAAATTTTCTAGAAAACATACACTTTTGAAATATGTTTCCTCTCTGTGATCCCTTGTTAGGTAAGAATGTACAAACAATTACAAAATAGATGAAAGTCATTAAAACATGAATAATAGAGGGTGGGTAAAATTGCAATATTGCCAGAAACTCCCGCCTGGCTTTAGCGCATCTCCATATCAACAGGCGTTTCCAAGGGGTGGAGGGAGGTAGACCATCTCCATATCACTGGGTACTTACCCGGCAACTGAGGGCTTCTGTGGACCTGAGAGGTTGGGGGAAGGATTCGCTTGCTTCTGCCGGGCATGAGAGACACCGGGTGGCTTTTTGTAAGTAATGAACGGGTTTTAAACGTTATTTCTCCCTTTGACTGGTTTCGGTTTCAGCTAGGTATTTGGCTCCTAGATTTCCTCTCCCCGGAGTTACATATAGCACTAAAAATGTATTTGTATTTGACTAATTATTAATTTTATACTTTAAATTTCATGACATATCTATGTATATATATCTATATATATAGATATATATCTTAGATTATTATTGACTTAATTATGAAACTTTCTGATGAGCAGGGTTTTTTTTAATGAAGATTTATCTTATTTTTATAATTAATGTTCTTTATTCTTATTACCTCATACCTCATACCTTCTGATGGCCTCCTTAGCTATATGGTCTTTGAAGTGATGGAATAGAAATTGTAAGTACACAGAGAAGAATATACATTTGTCATAGGCATTATAAAACCATGCCTAGAACAAGGTTGGCCATGAGTAAATATTTTTTCTCAATTTTTTTATTGTAATAAAAAATACAAAACAAAAAATTAACCATCTTAACCATTTTTAGTTGCACAGTTCAGTGGTATTAAATACATTCATAATATTGTGCAGCTGTCATCATCATCCATCTCCATAACTCTCTTCACCTTACAAAACTAAAACTCTGTATCCTTTAAATGATAACTCTCCATTCTCCACTCTCCAGCTAACCATCCTTATACTTTCTTTGTGATTTTTGCTATTCTAAGTACCTCAACTTGGGTTGTCTGCACGTTTTAGTTCTTGTGAGTAATGCTGCTATGAACCTGGTTGTAAAACTAGCTCTCTGAAACCCTGCTTGCAATCCTTTTGCGTATAAATCTAGAAGTGAAATGCTGATATGGTTAAATTTATTTCTAGGTTTTTCAATTCTTTTTGATGCAATTATAAATGGGATTATTTCCTTAATTTCTCTTTCTGATAGTTCATTGCTAGAGTATACAAACACACTGATTTTTGTATATTGGTTTTTGTATTCAGCAACTTTACTGAATTCATTTATTAGACCTAATGGTTTTTTGATAGATTCTGTAGTAATTTGAGTCTGCTCTCTTTTTTTCTTAGTACATCTAGCTAAGTGTTTGTCAGGGTCGTTGATCTTTTCAAAGAACCAACTTTTGGTTTCATTAACATATTCTATTGTTTTCTATTCTCAGTTTTATTTATCTCTGTTCTAATCTTTATTATTTCCTTCTGAATGTTTAGTTTATTCTTCTTCTTAGTTCCTTAAGTTTTAAAGTTAGGTTGTTGATTTAAGAACTTCCTTGTTTTTTAATGTATTTATAGCTTTAAATTTCTCCCTTAGCATTACTATTGCTGTGTCCACTTAGTTTTAGTGTGTTGTGTTTTCATTTCATCTCTATAAGTATTTTTTTATTATTCTTTGATCCTTTGAGAGTGTGTTGTTAATTTCCACAAGTTCATGAATTTACCAGTTTTCCCTCTGTTATTGAATTCTAACTTCATCCCATTGTGGCTGGAGAAGATGCATTGTATGATACCTATCTTTTAAAATCTATTCAGAGTTAATTTGTGCCCTAACATATAGTCTATCCCGGGAAATGTCCCATGTGCACTTGAGACGAATGTGTATGCTGTTGTTGGGTAAAGTGTCCTGTTAGATCTAGTTGGTTTAAGCCCTCTGTTTCCTTGCTTATCTTCTATCTGGGTGTTCTATTCATTTATTGAAAGTACTGATGTTCTAACTATTATTGTAGAACTGTGTATATCTGTGTTGGGTAAATGTCTTTAAAGGATATATTTCTTTATCTTTATTCAAGGAGATAATGTATAGGTAATATAGGATTATTAGAAATACCGTATATAAAGTTGTCCTATTTTAGTAACTAATTTTACTATTCCTTATCTTGATCTGTTAAACTTCTGACTTTCCATTAAATCCATCAAGGGAAACTTAAAAATAGTAGAACATGTTAGTCTTCTGGGATAAATATTTAATTTAATTACATATGTATAAATGATCATTTATAATATTTATTTAATAACTTTTAGGGCATATTCCAACAATAAATTATTGTTTTTCTCCCAGTCCATTTTGTATGACAGTCTTTTAACAGCAATATTGGTATAATTTTCTAGAGGAATCTTATGGTATTTACTAGAAAATTAGGAAACAAGAAGAGATTTTAAGGTGTCTGTCATAATATTGCATATAATCTGTGATTATACTAAATACAGTTTAAAGGCTACCATTATAAAATTTTGGTTTTAAGAGCTTTGATGTTCCTTAAGAACATAAAAATAAGAATAACTGCAATAAAATATAGCTCATAACATACCTGATCCAGGTGGAAGACTTTTAGCTCTATCTATATATATATCTATAATTCTTATACTTTTTATCCCAAAAGGGACCTAAGGAGGCCAAGTACAGCTTTTAACATCTACTGTCCTAACTTGCTTTTGTTTTTATTGTTTTCTTTATATTTCTTTCTTATTCTAGAAACTTAAAAGGAAATAAATGCCAGTACTCAATCTTTCATATTTTTACCTCTTATAATTATTAATCTTAACAATAATGAGGGTAATCTAATTTTACTGAATTAGTTGTGTTATAAGTCCTACAGAATGTTTCCTTCTAGCTGAGGAAAGAGAATCTAGACTAAGTGAGTCTTCAAGGGTCAAAAGAAAGAGGGCAGGTGCAATTTACCAATTTTTACTCTATCATGTTACCTTTGTTCTCAGTACAATGACCTACCGAAATAATATGTACATAGTTTTATGCAAGGTAATTGTAGTATTCATATTATTAATAATATGCTTACTATGTGCATATTATTTTGCACTGTTATATAATTTAATTTTCTCAAAAACTCCATTTTATATAGGAGGGAATTGTGTTTCTGATCTGTTGAAGTAACTTGAACAGGGCTGTCTTCTATCTCAGGTTATGCCGTACTCCAAAACCTATTCTTTTAACCATTTGACTTAGTCTGCTTTCCACTTCTATAAAATGGAAAATGTGTAATAAAAAAATACTTCTTTTGGTCAGTGCAGTTGCTTTTAGATATTTGCTTTCCTGATTTTTTAATCCTTTGCTTATGCTCACTGTTAATTTTATAGATGGAAGGATGGCCAGAAACAAGTTTTACAGACAGCATAATTATTTTTTTCCCCATGAGTTACACCTTGTTTTTTCCCATTGGTTTTGAAAAGGAGGGAAAAAAGAGAGTGTGAATTTTTTATTTTAAAAATCACTAACCTGTTTTGGTAATTGCAAGGGAAAAGAATATATTTTAAGAAAATTTATTTGTTTGACCAATCTGACTTAATGGTCCAGGTGTTGGCCTAGAAGTTGGACAAGAAAATTGTCTTGAAAAAATGAATGAACCATTTTATTCTTTATTTATTTACTGTTCTCATTCTTCATGGGAAAGTTTCATTTCAATCATGTTAAAGTCATGTAAACAGACAATTAAGAATGACAGTTTAAAATTTTTTCTAATTATTTTGTTGTTTTAGAAAAATTTTAATAGCATTTCTGTGAGATGTCTATTTTACATATCCTATTATTGCATGAAGAGTCTTGCCTGATTTTAAATGTTTCAAAAGAATATTGGTCCAATATAAGAAAATACATTTTGTTTAAAGAGTAATACATGTCTTCTATTTTTGGAATTGTGATCTTTTTTTGATAGTTACATGATTTTCTTAATGTTACTATATCTACTTTTTTAGTGTATTTTGGGATCTCTACTGTGCAGCTCCAGAAAGACGGGAAACATGTGAACATTCAAGTGAAGCAAAAGCCTTCCATGATTATGTAAGTTAAGACATAATTTACTAAATTATCTTGTCAGTTTTCTTTTTAGCCACTGCCTTTTGAAAATTCATTGGACCATCTATTTTTTTTCTTTGGTTCTAAGAAATTGGTTGTTCTTTTTTTTTTTTTCTGAAAAATAGGCTCAGAATGTTAAAAGTGAAATACAAATGGATGATAGAGTCTTGTTGAAGAAACTTAAGATAAAAGAGTAATCCTGACTCCCAAGTTATTAGAGGTTATTTCTTTAAGCATGCCTGGTGTACAAAATTTTAGACTTATAAAAATTTAGTAGTAATTCTTTATTCTACAAGAGTCATCATAAAAATTCTGTAAATGATAAGCTCCTCTTTTGCATGTGATTTTAAAAGTAGATAGAAATATTACAACTTTTTGTAACTTTTGGTTATATATCATAAGGCTAAATATCTCTTTCACTGAATTCAGTTGCAGAAATAAAATTTACTGTCAACTAAAGGAAACAGGAGAGAAATGTGGAAAATGAGAATGCGTAATTGAAATGTGCAAAATGAAAATGTGAATCCTCTTTCTTGAGGAAGGGCAGTGGACTGTCCTTGGCTAGGTGATCTGTACTGAGTATTTTTTTAGAACAAAAAATGTGATTTTTAGAGAGTTGATTGTATATCAGTAAGTAGAATTATAAAAAAAGGGTGGGGAGATGGAAACAAGGTAATTTTCTTTAAGGAAAAATTGCATTTAAGAATGAGGAGATGGTATTGTGAAGGGGCTGGGAAAACACTGTTTGCAGAGCTGACCAAGAAAGGACAGATTGTGTTGGGGATGGAGGAAATCTAGTGTCCTTGTTATGAAGAGAGTGGAATTGGGGCTGGAGCCTGAGGAAATGTCTGATAGTAAGTACCTAAAGCAACCAGAGGTATACTTGTTTAGTTGGTAGAAAGGAGGCATCAATCTGTATAAACAGTCTTAAAAACCAGAAGCAGAGCTCAAAAAAGAGAAGGGAACCTTGTTTCTCCAGGGGAAATACTCTCAGCCTTAGACCGAAGAGTAGAAATAGAATAATTAGAACCTCAAAAGTAGCACAAGGAAAAGTATGCAGACTTAAGAGAAGTAGAAATCTTGGTTGGGCATTTGGCAGGGTCTGTTTAATACTTTAAACGTATACTACTCTGATTAAAGTGAGACTGCTGGTGATTACCTATCTGATATTGATTGTACTCATAAAGCTTTCTGTATTCTAAACAGTAGCTCTCAGGGACAAGGTGAGTGAAAGAGATGTGACTACATATAAGGAAAAAGTAGAAAAAAGCAGATCAGGCAGGGTCCTGGACACGGTATTTGTCTGAACAATCTCATTTTCCTTTTTTTTACTTGGGGAACAGCAGAATGTAGAGACTCAATCATGAAAAGTGTATGAGGAATCTGCATAGAGTGGGATACCCCCCTCATCTATCTTTCATACCAAGAAAGACATGCCTCGATTTGGCCTGCTTGTCATGGGAAAAATTTTTAAAATACCCTCTAATTTTCACAACTAGGTGGCATTAGACAGTGCCAGTGTTCTAAAGGACATTTGTTGTCTGTGAATCTACATTTTTAAGAAATTAATTATATAAGTACTTTGTCAAAATTCCATTGTATAGAAAGGTGAACCCCCTGTTCATCATAGAGGTCTTTCAGGGAATATGGAACTAATTTAGCATCTCTTTTTTAGAAGCATTAGCTAAATCATCGTTGTTACTGTCGTAGCCATTATTTATCATTATCATCATCATATTCATTTTGCATAAGGCACATTCAGTATTTCAAAGAGTATTCACACATATTAGCTTTAGAAACCCACTTAAATATTTGAAGGTTTTTTAAAGTAACAGTGGCTAGAGGTAGAAGTAAAAGTAGATTTTGAAGGAAGAATAACTCCTTACCATATAATCTGGTCCTATGAAAATGTAGTTTAGAGAAATTAAGTATTTAGATTTTATAATTCATTATGAATAGTGGCATGTTTTACCAAATGGTTTATAATTTTATCTTAAATATTAATTTTAAGAGATTTGATTTATTCTTAGATGGCATTTTTATTATACCAATAAAACCAATATATGTATTTCAGTATTTTATAAATATCTATAATTAATACTAATTTTATATTCAGAAAAACTACTTTAAAAGAGGTCAAATTTCAGCTTTAGGTGAGTTCTGATCACTCTTCTAAAATTAGAAAATAAAAAACATGGTACAATAAAATTTAAATTTGAGCTGGTTTTCATTCCATTGTGTTAGATGCATAGGCATTTAGCATTTCTCCTGAAAGACCTGTTTTTTGTATGTGCACGTGTTAATAAGAGTACACTAAATAGATGGAATTTTGAGTCATTCTATAATTTTTAATAACTTCTTTTTTTTCTTCTTCTTTTTTGGTAACTACTGTTCCAGAAACATTTTTTACTTTGGTTTTTAAATTTAAAATTTGTTTTCTGATAGTTGCCTCTTTAGAATATGGATTTTTGTCACTTTATTATTTTATTTGCCAAATGATTGTAGATGCAGTGTTAATATCCTTTCCCTCAAAAATAACCCCACCATCTTATTGTGAGAAAAAGAGAAAGCATTTAAGATGAGTTTTGATCTTCTCACATTTATATTTTAAAATATATTAACTTAAATATTTAGCATCTGTACACAATGCTGTATATAAAATAATATATTTAGAAATCAACAGTTCATAGTGCAGAGGGATGTACTTTTGGATGACAGAGCTGTAAAAAAACACAAGGCAGTGATTACTAGCCAAATCAGGAAATGGGCACTACTTCTGGGAGGTGGAAGAGGTTATGGTTATGTTGGGGCTCACGGGAGGGGCTTCGGACATGGGTGACAGAGTTGTATTTTGCCTGACCACTGTGGTGGTTGCTTTATAATAACCATGTGTTTGCTTTATAATACTTCATAATACCATAAATTTATTTTGTATTGTTTTTCTATATATATTTTTAAAAATTTTTAAATAACAAGACTTAAAAACACAATTAAAATAATTAATTTCATAGAAAGAACATGTACAGTGGTTTCTAATGTGTTTCCAGGCATTGCTCTGGTTCATCCTTGGGAACTGATGGCAGAAAATACAGGGATGATCTCCATACAAATCTGTGTTTGTTTCTTTTCTACTATGACAGACACTAAAAAGTATGTCTACCTCTTGATTTTTTAGAGACAAGTGGGAAATACAATCAGAATATTGGAGGGAAATTTAATAATCAGGAATTTATCTCGTAAGAGAATATAGGACTTTATAGTAGAACAATTGTTTTGCCACATGGCCAGGAGATACCTAGCTTGACCCTGTTATTTTTATCCTGAGTGAAGAGCAAGCTTATTTGAACTATAAAATTATTATTATATATTGCAACATTTTCATTAAAAAGTAAACTATCTCAAGTGATCATAAATAATGCCTACTAACTTGTAAAGTTTATTGGACTAGCTTTTGTTCTTTCCCCATCAGTGTGCTTTATTTTACTCTGAAATCACAGGCAAAGCTTTTATGTGGAGTTAACAAATTTTTATTAGATTTTTTCCTCCACTTCAGATTAACATAGAGTTGTTTTATTTAACAATTTATTTCTAATTTCATTCATTTCCTAAGAAAAGTGTCAATATATACTATCAAACTGAATGACACATGTATATAGTGATTATAATTTTAGCTTTCTGTTGTGAATGAAAGATCTATTGTCCTAAAGCAAAAATGGAGCCATAATAAATACATTATTGTTTTAGTGTGGTGATAATGAGATCACATCATTGCAGTGAGGTCTTTGAAAGCAGAGAATTAGATTTGTTTTTCCCTGGGGTCTGTCAAATAATAGATGTTCAATAAATATTAACAAAATGCTGTAGTCTATTCTTTGGGAGACTGGAAATGTTTCATGTTCAAATGTTCAGGTAAAGTGATAGGCTTGAGTCATAATTATTGATAACATGTGGATGATTTTTGTGTTCTTGCATAGGAGTGCTCATAATGTGTAGAAAGGATTATGTTGCAGGTTTCTAGTGATGGGATACTTTTATAAAATGATTTATAAATGTGGCATTATGCAAATAAAAGAACAGAAGAATGTTTTCATTCATACCTCATGAAGATTTTGCTACAGATGGTCATATATTATTTAGAAAAATACTTCTGTAGAAAACACAGTATAGGGAGTATAGTCAATAATATTGTAATAACTCTGGGATGACAGATAACTATACTTACCATCGTGAACATTTCATAATCTGTATATAAATGTTGAATCACTGTGTTGATCCCCTGAAACTAATGTAATATTGTATGTCAACTATGCTTCAATTAAAAATAACTAAGTATATCATTATATATATATAAAATTATATATATATATAATTAAAAAAAGAAACTGCTGCAGAGAGTTAGGTGCAGGTGCACCCTTTATGATTCTGCATCATCTTCTGTTTACCTTCTTAAGATCCCAGTATATCAGGTTTTTGTAATGGAATGTTTTTTTCTGGTAATTTATGAGCTTCCTCAGGGAATAGGTTTTGTTTTTTTATTGTTTTTTTCATCCCCTGTGCCCAGCATGGTACCTGACAAGATGTTCAAATCATGTTTGGTGTTTATATAAATGGATGATTAGATAAAATATTATCTAATAAGTATTTGCCATTTCTTATTTTAATATAACTGGATATGTAGTTGCAGGAAGGTCCTTTAATACTATTTTTACTTACTTTGTATTTCAAAACATTTAGATAAGACAGCAGTTTGCAAAGACATAATGACTGAATCAAATCAGATAGCAGATGCTTTCTATCTCGGGAAGCATGGTTCTAGGGAATGTAGCAATGAACAAAATAGAGTCACAATCCTCATAAGTTTGCCATCTAACAAGAGACCTTTTCTTGAGAAGTTTGAAATATCAGATAGTCAAATGTATGGAAAGATACCTTATAGTCTTATATTGTTGGATCAGTCAAAATTATAGATATGTAAGGATATGGAG